TCACACAACTTTATCAATGCTTACTTGTCCCAGAAGCTGAACTTACCAACCACGAAGATTGAGCCTTTATAGGTACGAGTAGCTAATGGTGAGAGGCTGCAATGCACTGAATCCTTTCGAAAGGTGCCAGTCAGGTTCAGCGGAGTTACGGTGAAGGCTGATCTCTATGCCTTACCTTTGGTTGGGCCGGATGTCGTCCTAGGAGTACAGTGGCTCGAAGGGTTAGGCAAGGTGACCACCGAATATCGAACAAGAATTATGGAGTTCAACTCCGGAGGTCAGCAAGTCACTCTGAGTACTGGCAATGAAAAAGGTACCAAGTAAGTAGGACTTAAGAGCATTGAAAAAGTTTGGCGGGGCGGAGGCCAAATATTTGCAGTAGTAGTATAGAAAACTGAGGCGCACATAGACCAAGAGGAACAACAACAGGGAGATTTGCGCGAGCTTCTCAAGGAATTTGAGGGAGTACTGGGCGAACCTAAAGGACTACCCCCACACCGGGAGTTCGATCATCGCATACCACTAATCAATGAGCAGCATGCCATACACGTTCATCCTTATAGTTACGCTCACTTTCAGAAAACCAAGATCGAACGGCAAGTGGCCGAGATGCTTGAATCAGGACTAATCCAGCATAGCAAGAGTCCGTTTTCTTCTCCAGTCTTGCTAGCCAAAAAGAAAGACGGCACGTGGAGGTTCTGTACTGACTACCGAGCTCTGAACGCTGCAACCATCAAGGACCGATTTCCTATCCCTAGCGTCGACGACATGCTCGATGACTTAGCCGGGTCACGCTATTTCTCAAAACTCAACTTGAGAGCTGGTTACCATCAAATTCGAGTCCACAAATTCGACATTTCAAAGATAGCATTTCGTACACACCAGGGACACTATGAGTATCTAGTCATGCCATTCGGATTGTGCAATGCCCCATCCACTTTCCAGTTCGCTATGAATTCTATCTTCAAGGAGTATCTATGTAAGTTCGTTCTGGTATCCTTTGATGATATCCTGATCTATTAGAAGTCATGGGGCGAACATCTTGGGCATTTGAGAGTAGTGCTCGAAATTTTGGAGGCCAACTCATTCCATATCAAGCCATCCAAATGTTCATTCGGGCAGAAGGTGGTTGAGTATCTAGAGCACTTCATATCACACGAGGGCGTGAAGGTTGATCCACGAAAAATTGAGGCTATGGTCGATTGGCCTAAACCAACAAGTCTCACGCAGTTGAGAGGATTTCTAGGACTCAC